CTACACTCAACCTTATTCATTGTGCTATCTCTGGATGCGCCTTCAGAGATTGTACCAGAGCTAGAATAGCTCCTTGAACAGAAATGTTTGTATATATAAAGGCAACATTGAAGATTACTATCCTATCCTCTTCTCAATGTGTCTGCTATTCAATGAATTCCACAAAATCATTCGATTTTTCACTGAATATAGCCCCAACTTGGCAGATTTCTTGAGTTTTAGGCATAAAAAGTGATATCCTAAGCATCACGCTTCCTTTATTATTTACAATTAATCATAGGGGGACACACTCCTTGTGAACCTTAGGGACACCGTAAGCCGTGGGGGCCCTTGCATCCCTCTGGAGTAGAAAATTCATTTTCCACTTATCCCTTTCACCATTAATTACGCATACTTTAAGAGCATCCTTTGGCCTAGTCTTAAGTCTTTCTGTTGGATCTCTCAGTAGAGGCCTAAATGAACTAACATCTTTTCTACATAACTTGACTTACCCATCACTACCATCACTCCACATTTGTCGGCTTTTATTAGAATCAGATTACTACTACACAGATATCTGGAAACCCTACTAAGAGGACAAAATTTCTTTGGCGGTATTATATGGCCAAAATGAGGGATCACCTTCATTTCAATACTATTCCTTATCTATTCAGGCAATCTATCAGATAAGCTAATTAATTCGACAAATACATCCAGAGAATGGTTTACCTCATTTACAAGAGTAAAATTTAATCCTCTTTCCAATAAATGTACTACACTATCCTCCAGAGTTGTACTAGATAGATTAATTACCTTATCCTCCCCCAGTTTGTTACAACCATGGTTGGTACGACTTAACTTAGACGCAAAGTTGCTCGGCCTAATTCTAATTCCTAAATTCCGGAGCCTCTTATCATGTACCCGACACGTCGTTCTGCCAGTCGCCTCTCCTAACCCGTCAGCCATGCCTTGTAACGTAATGAAATCTACATTCTTCAATATTTCAGAAAGGGATTGCCTAAGTCTAGTTTGGACGCTAATTAGTTCGTGTAGTTTGTTAATGCATTCCTTGAGCCTAGTTTTAATTAAACAAAACGATACCTGATCAAGTTCCATATTGGTGAGGTCGGTAGAATTAAACGTTTACTGAGTAAACTACACATAGAAACAACATTATGAGAAAAACACATTTGTAAATATATAATTTTATTAACTTGTCGGGATACAGTTCTCTTGATTATAGTGTAGCGAGAAGACAAATGACAAGAATGTGAATTGTACGCAGGTTGTAGATGCGAGGAGAAAGTGGGCTTCGATGAATCTCGTGAGATAACGTCTACTTTTATTTCGTTTGAAAGTGCATGAAGAAGAGATTCGTGGGTTGATCTCACCAGAAGAGGGGGGATGAATCACGTTGTGCTGCAGCCGTTTGGCTTTTGTACCACGTTCCGGTTGACACAGTCCACGAGACCGTCTCCCTCGTTTTGGGTGAAAATGGGCTGAATGTGAGAAGTGGTGGCATAAAGTCGAGTAGTAACTGTTTATGCTTGAGTGATAGATTGAAGGAGAGAGATGGTGTTGAGCCGCCGTCAATAAGAACGCGAATCAATTTGTCTGTACGAAGAAAAGTTGGGTTTCGAGGAATCTCTTGTTTCATAATTGTTGGGCTTACTTCCATTTCGAGAAGAAGTGTTTGGTGAAGAGATTCGAAGATAGGTTCCACCAGAAGACGACGGCGAATTCCTCTTGACCAGCTGTCGATTGGCTTTACTGGAAAATTCATGC